CAGGAATGTTGGTTTGTGTGAAAGCAGATAATTGTGAAAACTGAGATGGCAGGCAAATGCAATGTCTCACTCTGGACAAGCTGAGCAACTTCTTTGTGTGGAAGTGCAACAGTTTAATGCCAGGTGAATTGCAGAATACCTGCATGTAACTGACATGCTGGAGCAAGCTGTTTCCTACGAGAACCACTCATCAACAGCAAAAGCACAAAAACTATCAGATACCAAATAGTAAAGGTGGGAGCTTCTCAGGGAACCGCTCAGACTTGCTCTTGCACGGTTCTAGCCTTACTGAAGTTTGTTGTTTGCATGGCACTCACTGCAGAAACTTCCTATATATATTTTTTCTCCCCACCCCCCCTTTGTGCTTATCCCTCGGTGTGCCTGAGCAGCTGGAGTCAGCAGAGTGGTGGGCACTTGGGTGTCCTGAGCTGGGTGTCCTGGGTGCTGCCATCCCCATGGTCATACAGGGCTATGCACATCATCACACAGGGACATGCACACACTCCTCGGTCATCCTCTGCGTGACTTCTGCTCTTCCAGACTGCAGCACGCCTTGTGTGGCGTTGGTGTTTGTTGCCACACGCATTCCTGAGATTTTAAACAAAAAAAACAACAATAACAAAAAAGTGGTGGCAGAGGCGTTATGAGTGTGAGTGGGCTGATATATTCTCTGCATGTTAGACATTGCAGTGAATGTTGCCTGCTGAGAAATGCATTTAGATGAGTTGAATTTTGCTTGTCATCAGACCATCAGCTCTTTGATATGGGATCTATATCCCAAGATGTTTCTAGCTCCCTCCTTACTGTGTGTGTAAGTAAATGATCCTCTCTTCAGGCTGTTTCAGTTATGGAGAGACTCTGAGCAAGGATTGTCTTCTGTTCTTACAGTCAATGTCTGACCAGCTTCTCTGCTTTAGTAAGACTGAATTTACTGTGTGGAATTTACAGTAATGGAGAATTAAATTTCACCAATTCTTGAGCTGATCAGAATTTGGGATTTTTTGTGCTTAAAAAAAAAGAGTGGCTGCAGAAAACATAAATGAACATGTTTCCTGTTGTCTTGAGGTCTGTGAAGCCTGCAGTATACAGATGACTTTTTCCAAGATGCTTTATTTGGAAACATTTTATGGGTAATGAATGTACCCACAAAAACAGCTGTCGTTATTTTAAACCACAACTTAATGGGTTAAGTGCTGAGTCATTCAGATGTGTGAGGCAGGGTGGGTCCACAGGCATCTGCTTTCAAATTAAATAAATCTCTTTTAAAAATAAATAAAGCTATGTTTGCATTAGGCATTAGTGTTTCTGGCTTACCTTATTCTTATGCACTCTGATAAAAGTCATTTACAATCAGGTACTGTGCCCATTATGTGTTACTTTCCAGTGCCTTTTGCTGAAGAACTTTTAAGTGTTGACAATCAAAATGCACTGAAGCATTGAGCTGACCCACGACAGAAGGAGCTTTTTTGTGCAAGTACAGTGAGGTGTTTTGATTTTAGTTAGAATAATCTCAGTAATTCCTGTAGGAAGTGACTGGGAGCTGAAAAGCAGTTCTTTGTCATGTTGCACCCTCATTTTATTTAGGGATCTGTTGTTTTTTGTTTGTGTGTTTGTTGTTGTTGCTTTTTTGTATTGACCAGAAACAGTTGAATTCACTAACTGTATGTAATTTTTATGTTTGTTGAAATTAATAAGTGAGAATCAGTCTTTCTCTGAGTAAATAAACACTGGCTTGCTTGCATTGTTTCTATTTTAAATCAAACAGAAGTGGTAGAGCTAAAACACCGGAATTTCTTGCTTGACTTACATCTGTTTAAAAGCATTGGATTAAATTTGGAGCCAATTGCTGGTAGCGTACTGAGGCTCTTGAACACTCTACAGGTTTTTCTCCTCTATTACATCTTGAGATAAGTATGCATACATATGTATGTGTGAGGTTTTTATTTATTATGAACAATATAATATTTTTATAATGAATGTGACTGAACTGAGCAGTCACTGGTGCTGGTAGATAATTTGTATGGTTGCTGTGTGGCCCTTGGACCTGCAGATTTAGGGTTTTCTGTGCAATGCCAGAAAGCTTTCCTGCCTTATCTCAATCCTGACAACTTCTCAGGCTTCTGTCTTGTCAGCTCTCAATCCAGTCAGAGCAGGGGATGAAAATATCTTCTCACCTATTCTTTCCTTGGAGGAATGTGCATTAGAGTCAGGTTTACTGTGAAAGCCATTCTGCTATTTTGAGGACTGCCAAATCTCTGGGAACTGAGTGCCTTGTATCATGTCACTGTCAGTTGCCATCTGTTCTTAAAAATATGTCAGCAACATCTGTTGTGGACAACCTGTTCCTTCCTTGCCTTTTCCTTTCTGTCTCATGGTTACTTTCCACTTGTCCCCTGTGATTAAATGGAGTTTTGCCATCCAGTGGTGAGGAGCCCGTGATTTCCTGCCCCAACTCTTTCTGAAACATCAGTCTGATAAATGCAGATGCCTTACTCCAAACTTCAGATGAGATTCTGAACTTCCTTAGTTATTTTTTAGAAATGCTGGTGTCACTTGCAGTATTTCTCCTGATTACAGGAGTAAAAGCAAGAAGCTTAAGTGGCTCATCACATTTACCTTGTGAGCTTTGTGTATAGTCAGACTGGTATAAAAATGTATCTGAGTGGTGCTTTGAGGATCTGATAAAACTGGACTTCTGACTGTGGGCAGAGTTATGCACTGGGTAACATCTCATAGCAGTTCTTGATATTTATACTTTTAAAGTAATTTTACCCCAGATTGTTTTGTAGATCTATTTTGCTTTCCTTCCAAGGTACACTGATGATTACATTAGCTTTATATAGTGCTGTACTGTAACTGAACAGTTATGCCAGTCTGTAAAATAGAACTTTTGACATAATCTGTGGCTATTTTTTGTGTAAACTTAGTAAATCAGATTGTTAATGAAGTTATGATTAGACTTTAATGTACTTGTGGGAGGCCAGGTTATATACCCCAT